TGGAAGATACAGAAAAGATGAATTTCTATTCAATATTAAGAATTTACCTTCTAGCAGTTGGAGCTGTGTGATGAGGGGGGTGCATCTCCTTATACAGTAATATGGTCCTTATCATTGAAAGTATTCCAAAAAAACCCATTCAAGCCAATGGAGTGGCTCTTGCCTGTAAACCCAGCTACTTGGGAGGCTGTAGTGAGCTCTAATCATGGTACTGTGTTCCAGCCTGGGCAACAGCGTGAGGAAAAAAAAAAGAGAAAGGATTATTCATACATTGGGTAGAACCTGCTGGGTTTTTTGGTTTTTGTTTTTTTTGTTTTGTTTTGTTTTGTTTTTTGGTTTTGGTTTTTTGTGTTTTGGACAAATTTCTGTGTTTAAAAAAAAAAATGCTCTTTTACAAAGTTCAGGCCGGGTGAGTGGCTCATGCCCATAATCCCAGCACTTTGGGAGGCCAAAGCGGGTGTATCACTTGAGATCAGGAGTTTGAGACCAGCGTGGCCAACATGGCAAAACCCCGTCTCTACTAAAAAAAAAAAATATATATATATATATGTATAATTAGACTGATGTGGTGGCAGGTGCCTGTAATCCCAGCTACCTGGGAGGCCGAGGTGGGGGAATCACTTAAACCTGGGAGGCAGAGGTTACAATGAGTGGAGATCATGCCGCTGCACTCCAGCCTGGGCAACAGAGCAGGACTCTCAAAATTTAAATAAATAAAATGAAAAGTTCAAACAATACACAATAATAAAAAATTAAAAATTAACAGGTTCCCCTCTTATGTATGTAGGTCTGCCTGTTGCTTTCTTTCACACAAAGGTAATCATGCTGTATTTCTGCAACTTTTGTTTTGATAAACAACCTGAATGTTTAAAAAGTTCATAATACTGCATTTTATAGATATACTTTATTTGGCAAATTTCTATGCTGTGCTCTTGATAAAGATTTTTAAAGCAAATCTTAAATACTACTTTTTTGCAGTGCTTCAGTATGTAACTCTAAAAAATATGAGTATCTTCTTACATTAATATAATTCTACCCTCATACCTAATGTTATACCTTGTCCAGATTTTCTCAGAAATGTCTTTTTGTAGGTAGTTTATTTGACTAGGATTCAAACAAGGAGTAAACATTTGGTTGTTATGTTTTCTGAATCTCTCCTTTTAGTTATCTCCTGTTCCCTTTTCATGACATTGACTTGGTTGGTAAAACTAGGTCAGTTCTCCCTATAGAGTGCTCCATATTCTGGATTTTTCATTTTACTTGTCATGTAATTTTACTTCTTTTAGTGTAATTTAATTTCTTCCTTTTTCCTTTGCATTTCTGTAAATGGAAGGTAGCTGTAGAGCTGAGCTATCCAATACTAGCTGTGTTAGTAACTACTGTTGGCTATTTAAATTTACAGTAATTGGATTTAAATACAATTAAAAATTCAGTTCCTCAGCTGGGTGCAGTGGTTCATGCCTGCAATCCCAGCACTTTGGAAGGCTCTCTTGAGTCCAGGAATTTGAGGTTACAGTGTGCTATGATTGTACTGCATTCCAGCCTCAGTGGCAGAACAAGATCTTGTCTCTTAAAAAAAAAAAAATTTAGTTCCTCAGTTACACTAGCCACAATTCAAGTGCTCAAGAGCCATATACAGGCTGGGTGCAGTGGCTCATGCCTGTAATCCCAGCATTTTGGGAGGCTGAGGTAGGTGGATCATTTGAGGTCAGGAGTTCAAGACCAGCCTGACCAACATGGTGAAACCCCATCTCTACTAAAAATACAAAAATCAGCCCAGTGTGGTGGTGGGCACCTGAAATCCCAGCTACTTGGGAGACTGAGGCAGGAGAATAGCTTGAACCCAGGAGGCAGAGGTTGCAGTGAGCCAAGAGCATGCTACTGCACTCTAGCCTGGGTGACAGAGCGGGACTGTGTCTCAAAATATATATGTATATACACACATAAAAACATATACAGAACTTCCCATCATCATAGATAGAAAGTTCTGGATAGCACTCAGTGCTGGCCTGGGGGCTTGATTACTTGATTAGACTCAACTTCAACATTTTTAGCAAGAGTACTTCATAGATGGTGGCTGTGTTGCTTTTTATTGCGTTATATCAGAGAGACACAGTAGCTGGTTGTCCCATGTCTAGTAATGTTAAGATTGATTAGGTGGGGATCAGCCTTACCCTTTCATTGTATAGTTTTTTTGTTTGTTTGTTTGTTTGGTTGGGGGTGGGACACAGTCTCACTATGTCACCCAGGCTGGAATGCAGTGGCGTGATCTCAGCTTGTTGCAACCTCCATCTCCTGGGCTGAAGCGATTCTCCTGCCTCAGCCTCCTGAGTAGCTGGGATTACAGGTGCCTGCCACCACGCCTGGCTAATTTTTTGTATTTTTAGTAGAGACAGGGTTTCACCATGTTGGCCAGGCTGGTCTCGAACTCCTGACCTCGTGATCCAACTACCTCGGCCTCCCAAAGTGCTGGGATTGCAGTTGTGAGCACCGCACCTGGCCTTATTGTATAGTTTGTAATAATGTTGACAATGAATAAAGACAATTTATCTTCTTCCTCTGAAATCTCTGATCTCTTTCTTGCCTTATTGCATTGGGTAAAACCTTCAATAAAACATTAAATGTTGAGAGCTAATATTCTTGCTTTGTTCTTAATGTTAGGGAGAAATTATTCATGCTTAAACATCAAGTAAGATACTGGTTGTAGTTTTTCATAGATATCTATCAGATCAAGCAAACTTTCTTTTATTCCTTGGTAGCTGAGTCTATATAAATAGGGGTTGAATATATTAATAGTATTAGTAGGGTTTTTTCTATAGTTATTGAGATAATATGGTTTTCTTTTATTCTGTTAATGTCATGCATGATATTTTTTTCTTTTGGATGCTACACTTTACATTCCCAGAATTAACATCATTTGGTCATGATGTATTATTCTTTTATATTTTGCTGGTTTGAGTTGCTAATATTTTGTTAATTATTTACATCTGTGTTCTTAAGAGATAATGGTCTATGGTTTTCTTTTTGTGTAATATCTTTGATTTTAGTATTAGGATAATGGTTGATTTCTCCTATGTCCTTTTGAAATGAGTTTGGTTTTCTTTGATAACTTTGGTTCTTTTTTTTCTCCATGCACAATAAGATATCTCAGGCTCTGTACAAAAAGTATCTCGGCCAGGCGCAGTGGCTCATGCCTATAATCCCAGCACTTTGGGAGGCCAAGGCGGGCGGATCACGAGGTCAAGAGATCGAGACCATCCTGGCCAACGTGGTGAAACCCCGTCTCTACTAAAAATACAAAAATCAGCTGGGTGTGGTGACATGCACCTGTAGTCCCAGCTACTTGGGAGGCTGAGGCAGGAAAGTCTCTTGAACCTGGGAGGCGGAGATTGCAGTGAGCCAAGATTGCACCACTGCACTCCAGCCTGGCAACAGAGTGAGATTCGGTCTCCAGAAAAAAAAAAAGGTGTCTCAGCATGTCTTTTCAACAGAGAGTTTTTCAAATAAGTGCCTGTCACTGCTTTTTAATACTCTTTCTGGATAGTTCTGATTCAATGAAAAAGTAAAATTTAAAAAGAAAAACGTAATGAATACTGAATGTGTAAACTCCATATCTTACCACATTTTAAAAGTTTCTTGGCTGGGCATGGTGGCTCATGCCTGTAATTCCAGCACTTTGGGAGGCCGAGGAGGGCGGATCACGTGAGTTCGGGAGTTCGAGACCAGCCTGACCAACATGGAGAAACCCCGTCTCTACTAAAAATACAGAATTAGCTGGGTGTGATGGCACATGCCTGTAATCGCAGCTACTAGGGAGGCTGAGGCAGGAGAATCACTTGAACCTGGGAGGCAAAGGTTGCAGTGATCCGAGATCATGCCATTACACTCCAGCCTGGGCAAGAAGAGCAAAACTCCATCTCAAAAAAAAAAAAAGTTTCTTAGTGTAAACATAATATTATGAGTATATATATCTCATTACGTTTGGAAATGAAATCTTTTTTTTTTTTTTTTTTTTTTTTTGAGATGGAGTCTTGCTCTGTCACCCAGGCTGGTGTGCAGTGGCACAATCTCAGCTCACTGCAACCTCCGCCTCCTGGGTTCAAGCTGTTCTCCTGCCTCAACCTCCCAATTAGCTGGGACTACAGGCGCGTGCCACCACACCTGGCTAATTTTTTATTTTTAGTAGAGACGAGATTTTACCATGTTGGCCAAGCTGGTCTCAAACTCCTGACCTCAGGTGATCCACCCACCTCAGCCTCCCAAAGTGCTGGGATTACAGGCGTCAGCCACCGTGCCCAGCCTAGAAATCTTAAACTTAGCAAAATTATTTGATGTTTAGGTATATCATTTAAGTTCTTCATTTTAGAATTGCTTTAAATTATGAGGAAGAAATTATTTTAGGCATTTTTATTTCCCTTTTCTAGTCAGCTTATTCTTTTTTTTTTAGTGCTAAGTATTTGGATAAGGTAGATATTGTGTGAGGCCCATCAGTCAGTCAATTCTACCACTTCCCAGACTGATGTAACTTCTGTTCAGTAGAGTAGAATACACTTTCTAGCCAGTTGCTGTAGGATTGTAGGTGATGACTACGCTTTGCCAAGCCATTAATTTATAATAATTACTAACAGGAAATATCAGGTACATTTAGAAATGAGTAAATTTCAAGCCTTGTTATACCTTTTAACCTTAACTGGAATCTTACTTCTGTATTTAAATTAGATACTAAAATATTTAAATCACATAAGACATAATCTTTGGCTATCCGATCACATGACTATTAAATGAGCATGAGAGAATTGGTTTTTATGAATCTTTTTGCATACTCTTGTATTTTATTTAGGTCACGAGCAAAGTATTTTTTCCTCTTTTAAATTCAAATGACTTTTAGGATTATATGTGAAAAACAAATGATAACTGAAGTGTCTAATACTGTTAACTGGTATTATACTTTGCCATAATAGTGATACTGTAAATATGAAACCTTTATTTTAACTTTTCAGGCACAAAAATCTCAAGTCAAGAAATGCTGGACAACAAGGACAGGCACCATCTTTAGGTCAGCAACAACAAATACTTCCTAAGCACAAGACCAATGAGAAGCAAGAAAAGAGTGAAAAGCCACAGAAACGCCCCTTGACCCCTTTTCACCATCGTGTGTCTGTTAGTGATGATGTTGGCATGGACACAGATTCAGCCAGCCAAAGACTTGTGATCTCTGCTCCAGACAGTCAAGTGAGATTTTCAAGTATCCGAACTAATGATGTAGCAAAGACTCCTCAGATGCATGGCACCGAAATGGCAAATTCACCTCAACCACCCCCACTTAGTCCTCACCCTTGTGATGTGGTTGATGAAGGAGTGACTAAAACACCTTCAACTCCTCAGAGTCAACATTTTTATCAAATGCCAACACCAGATCCCTTGGTTCCTTCTAAACCAATGGAAGATAGGATAGACAGTTTGTCCCAGTCTTTCCCACCTCAATATCAGGAAGCTGTAGAACCTACAGTATATGTTGGTACAGCAGTAAACTTGGAAGAAGATGAAGCCAATATAGCCTGGAAGTATTACAAGGTCCCAAAGAAAAAAGATGTAGAGTTTTTACCACCTCAACTTCCAAGTGATAAATTCAAGGATGATCCAGTTGGACCTTTTGGACAGGAAAGTGTAACATCAGTTACAGAGTATGTATTTTTTTTAATAGTCACCATTATAATTTAAGGGTGGAAGTGATGCAAGTTCTTAATACTAGGACTCAGTATTGGATTCAAGGTAGGATTTACAAGAATAAATTCATTGAGTATTAACTTTGCATTATTCCTTTACTGTGTTTTTTCCTCAGGGAACTTCTTTATTATGAAATAACTTTAGCCACAAAAAGTGGAGAAAATAATATGTAAACACTTGTACACTTGTACATCAGCCACTTTAAGAATTTTACATACAGTTAGAATTCCTATGTACTGTTTTTCTTCTTCCAGTCTTCCTTCCACTGTCCTGAACTCGGGTACTTTCCCCCCCCCCCCCCCCCGAGACAGAGTCTCTGTCACCCAGGCTAGAGTGTAGAGACATGATCTAGGCTCACTGAAACTTTACCTCTGGGTTCAAGCGATCTTCTGCCTCAGCCTCCCAAGTAGCTGGGATTATAGGTGTGTGCCACCACCCCCAGCTAATTTTTGTATTTTTAATAGAGATGGGGTTTTACCATGTTGGCTAGGCTGGTCTCGAGCTCCTGACCTCAAGTGATCCACCTACCTCGGCCTCCTGAAGTGTTGGGATTACAGGCATGAGCCACTGCACCCAGCCTGAATTGGTACTTATTATTTCAGTACATGTTTTTATACATGTAGCTCTAGTTATTTTAGTTGCTTTATGGTATTTCCTTATGAACATATGGTAAATATCTAAACTCTTAAAGATAGATATGTTGGTTATTTTCAGTTTTTCACCCTAACATTTTCCATTTTGTTTGGTACACATTTCCTTGTGTACTTGTATAAGAATTTCTTTAGGAAATATATCTAAAAGCCTTTTTCAACATGGCTATGTCCATTTTCAGCATTAAGGGTTGTTGCCCAGTTGCTTTTCCGCAACTGGTATATGGTTTAAACCCTCATGAAACATCAGTATATGGGAATGGCTGTTACACTATGTTTTCCTCTATAGTTGGTATTATGAGATTTAATTTCAATAATCTACAGCACGCAAAATGTCATCTCATTGTCTAAATACGTGTCTTCCAGATTTCTAGTGAGATTGAGCATCATTTAAAATGTTTTGGGGGTATTTAGGTTTCCTCTTCTCTGACTTGCCTATTCGTTGTATTTTTTAGTCCATTTTTCTTTTCTTTTTTTTCTGATGTATTCTTTGCATGTTCTGGGTATTAATCCTGCATTAGTTTTATGTGCTGTAGGTATCTTCCTCCATCGGTGGTTTGCCTTCTTTGTTCACTGTATTAATGTTGTACTTTGGGCAGAAGAAGGCTTTTTTCCAGGTATCCCTTGACTTTCTATGTTTTTATAAATACATTTATAGTCTGTCTAATAATAATTCTTTTATATACAAATTTTTCTAAAAGATGAAAATCAACCAATAAAATACGATTATGCTCAATAGAACTGTCTACCTATTTATTAGTGCAAGGCCAAGGAATGTACAAAGATTACAGTTCCTCCTTTATCAGATCATTGTCAGTGAATTACCTTTTTTTTCAGTTAATTACTTTCTTATTGCTTAAATGCTACTAATAGGTTAAATAATGTCTTAGACTTTATTTGCTTAAAATGTCACATTTTCATTATTGATTTATGTTTATTTTTTAATGTAGCTTTTTTCCTCAATATCAGATTACTCCAGATAATATAACTATTATATGGAGTTTAATACTTTCTTATTTCTGTTATAATGTGAACCAATTGCTTTCTAGACTTGTTTTCAGCTCTCTAGGATTTCATTTTGATTAGACTCAAGTTAATACCACAATTTTTTTTATAACTAGTGGCTTCTTTTTGGTTTCGCCCTTATTTTCTTGGTGAATATCTAGCTTCCTTGGGGGGAGGGGGTGAAAGGGAAGAGTGGGAGATAAATTTGGCATCCTTGTATTTCTGAAAATGATCTGATATTTTGCCCTCATGCTTGGATTGATAATTTGATTACATGTTGGTTTCATAATTGGAAATAATTTCCCCCTTGAACTCATAGGCATTGCTTTACTGTCTTCTAGTATCTCAAACTTCGGATGAAATGTGTAATAATGAGTTTCATTCTTGCTTATTTAAAAAAACATGTGATCTCTTACTTCTGTGAGGCTTTTAAGGTCTTCTCTTAGCTTTAGAAATTTCACAAGAATATGTGTAGTAGGTATAATGATCTTTTTTCCAGTCCTTGTGATGGGCACTTGAAGGGCTCTTTCTTTCTTTTTTTTTTTTTTTTTTTTTTTTTTTTGAGACAGTCTCGCTCTCTCGTCCAGGCTGGAGTGCAGTTTCATGATCTGCGCTCATTGCAAGCTCTGCCTTCCGGGTTCATGCATTTTCCTGCCTCAGCCTCCCGAGTAGCTGGGACTGTAGGCGTGTGCCACCACACCCTGCTAATTGTTTACATTTTTTAGTAGAGACGGAGTTTCACAGTGTTAGTCAAGATAGTCTCAATCTCCTGACCTCGTGATCCTCCCACCCCCGCCGCCCCCGCCTCAGCCTCCCAAATTGCTGGGGTTACAAGCGTGAGCCACTGTGCCAACCAAGGGCTAACTCATTTTGAAGGCTTTTGTTCTGCAATTTGGAAATTCTCTATTTCTTAGATAATACGATCTCCTTAAAAATTATTTTTAAGACTTCCATGTTTTAGATGGTGCTCTGTTTTCTCAGGGGATTCTCAACTTTCTTGAATTCTGAATTTTTGTTTCTCATGTTTTAAAAACATTCTCAACTGATTTTTTTTTAATGACATTCCTTTGTTTGATGTTCTGTGATTTTGTTTTTCTCTAGAATTACTTTATTTTGGTCTTGTTCTTTACTCAGATTCTTCTTGTCATACTTCTGATTGTTTTTTGTGTTTTTGTTTTTGAGATGGAGTCTTGTTCTGTCACCCACGCTGGAGTGCAGTGGCGCTATCTCGACTCACTGAAACCTCCACCCTCCAGGTCCAAGCGACCCTCCTGCCTCAGCCTCCCGAGGAGCTGGGACTATAGGCATGTGCCACCACGCCCGGCTGATTGTTTGTATTTTTAGTAGAGATGGGGCTTCACCTTGTTAGCCAGGATGGTCTTGATCTCCTGACCTTGTGATCCACCTGCCTCTACCTCCCAAAGTGCTGGGATTACAGGCGTGAGCCACTGCACCTGACCTAATTGTTATTATTTCATTTTTATTTTTTTGAGATGGAGCCTCATTCTGTCTCCCAGGCTGGAGTAAAATGGTGTGATCTGAGCTCACTGCAACCTCCATCTCCTGGGTTCAAGCAATTCTCCTGCCTCAGTCTCCCAACCTGGGACTACAAGTGCGTGCCACCATGCCTGGCTAAGTTTTGTATTTTTAATAGAGACAGGATTTCACCATGTTGGCCAGGCTGGTCTCGAACTCCTGACCTCAAGTGATCCACTGGCCTCAGCCTCCCAAGGTGCTGGAATTACAGGCGTGAGCCCCTGCGCTCGACCTGATAGTTATTATTATTTCATTTTTGTTTTTTTGAGATGGAGTCTCATTCTGTCTCCCAGGCTGGAGTGCAGTGGTGTGATCTGAGCTCACTGCAACCTCCACCTCCCGGGTTCAAGCAATTCTCCTGCCTCAGCCTCCCAAGTAGCTGGGACTAGAAGTGCATGCCACCATGCCTGGCTAATTTTTGTATTTTTAATAGAGACGGGGTTTCACCATGTTGGCCGGGCTGGTCTCGAATTCCTGACCTCAAGTGATCCACTGGCCTCAGCCTCCCAAAGTGCTGGGATTACAGGCATGAGCCACCACACCTGGCCTGTCTATATATATTTTAATGTCAGAGAATAGATAGGGTGATTGGAAATGTTGTATATAGGTAGAGCTTGTTGACTGGTGGGCCTTGCTCATTCAATAAATACTTTAGTATGTAATATGTGTAGGTGTCAGATAATTCGCTTTATGATAATTGGATAGGGAATTTTTGGAAGGGAAGGCAACCATTCCTAGAATTCCAGAATGAAGAGGATGTTATACTTATTTTCACAGGTAGTTTATTCATTTTCCTTAAAAAGGAACTTTTCTTGTTGCCCCATTTTCAGCTCTTTTTCTCATTTATGTTTTTCTTCTGGTTCCTGTCCCCTTCTCCTTTTTCTTTTTCCCTCCTCCTCTTTTTTTTTTTTACTCCTCCTTGCAGAGCTGGGCTAACCCCATAGGCAGTGTGACCAAAGTAACCCTTTTTCTCATATCTGTCTAGAAATTTAAGTCCAGATTTTTTCTGACTTTCCCAGGCAATTAGACTCTCCTGTTGTTTATGTAGTTGGCCTATAATCCCTTCTTTTGCATATTCTAGGTTGTGAACATTTTCTGCTGTATTTTATCTTATTTGAGCTTCCCTGTGAGACTTAGTGAAACATCTGGTCTATTTATAGCCTCTCTCTCATTTTTTCTACTGTTAGAGATTTATTCTCTTTTAAAATACCTAGCCGAGTGCTATGGTTGTGTGAGGAGGATTGCTTGATCCCAGGAGTTCCGGGCTGCTGTGCACTGGGCCGATTGAGTGTCTGCATCAAGTTCAGCATCAGTATGGTGACCTCCAGGTTGCCTGAGGACGGGTGAACCAGTCTAGGATGGAAATGGAGCAGGTCAAAACTCCTATGCTGATAGTGGTGGGATTGCACCTATGAATAGCCACTGTATTCCAGCCTGGGCAGCAATGAGACCCTGTTTCTTTAAAAATAATAGTAAATTAAAATGCTTTTATTGTCATTTTAGCAGATGAGTCCTGTGCTTCATCTGGCCTTTTGAATCTAAAAGTATTTTAATTTTATTTTATTTATTTTGAGACAGAGTCTTACTGTGTCACCCAGGCTGGAGTGCATTGGCACAGTCTCGGCTCACTGCAACTTCCGCCTCCCAGGTTCACGCAATTCTTGTGCCTCAACCTCCAGAATAGCTGGAATTACAGGCGTGTGCCACCATGACCAGATAATTTTTGTACTTTTAGTAGAGATCAGGTTTCACCATTTTGGCCAGGC